CAGACTTTCTCCTTTACCACTGTGTGCTGGGTGTTACTATGACAACTTGTCATTCTGAAAAAAAAGTTGTCCTTCAGGAAGTAAGGAGCTAGGTCTCATTTTTGTTGTTAATCTCCACAAATCTCCTCTTACTTAGTGTCCAGTTTAGTAGAACCTAGGGATGATTACTTCTTAATGTAGAAATGTCTAATTTTATTTTAGGAAACTAAAGAAATACACACTGCACCTAAGTTCACAGGTCTTTCATGTAAGTGAATCATAGTTTAGTTTTAGCTAAGCCACAGTGGTCATGCAGTGACCTTGGTGGCATTATGCAACTGCTAGCAAGAACATCCATATAATTTACCTAATTTTGCTTTACTCGTAGTTATTAGAAATAGTAAATGAAACTTAATTAGAGAAGACTTTTTTTTTAACTTTTGCGTATCTGTGATGGAGGTACAAATTGATATTATTGATTAAATTTGGGTTTTGGAGCTATAGTTGTCTATAGATTTCAATTGGATATGCTACCTCTCCTATAATACTCCTGAGAAACTGAAGGTTGGGTCTACTAATTTATATTCTCTGCAGTCTGCAAGAAGTACAGCCTGAATTTGAGCTTATCCATCTGGGAGCTTTCTCTACGGAACTACAGGCTCGAACACAGTTATCTGTCCCAGATCACCTCTCACTCATTTCAAGCTCTTTTCAGGACAAGAACAGCTCAGTTTCAGCCACTCTCCCTCCTACTAGATAAAGCAGAAGTATATAATATTTCAAAATATAAACTGTTCTTGTTCCAGATATATATGGTGGCCCACAACTGTGATCCCAAAACTGAAGGGACTGAAAAGATTGTGTTAGGCCAGCCTGGGCTACAGAGACTGTATCTTCACACATAAACATACACACACAGACACAGACACACACACACACACACACACATACACACACCACACACACACACACACACACACACACACACACCCATGGGTGGGTTTTTGTAAAATAAAAACATGTTTCCTCCCAGAATGACAACCGTGAGACTAGTTATTCATTAATAGATGCCAGACCATAAGCATTGACTCATTCTCTGGTTAGCTCATAACTTATTTAACCCATTCAAACTATTCTATGTCTTCTGCATGGTTAGTCAACTCTCTTTCAGTCCCAGCCCACTTATTCTTTTGAATGACATCTCTCTGTAATCTCTCTGTGTCTCTCTTTATTGTATCCTGAGATCAATTATCTGCTGGTTTAATCTGTCCCACTGCCTGCCCCCCTCACCCCAGTTCCCAGGCAAATCTGCCTTTAATTCTCTCAATATTTCCCAGAATCCTCTCTCTTCCTGCCAATGTCCCACCTTCTATTTCCTGCCTCAGGTAATTGACCATTGGCATCTTTATTGACAGGTGATGCTTATAAGAGATTCTACAGGTTCAGATTGACTACTATGTGAGTTTTTTTTGTTTCAGAGGCTTCTTTGTTACACTCTATTACATTATATGTTTTCTCTATTCATATTCTGGTTTCCTAGATTTGTCCTCCCTAGAGCCATGGAAAATACCACTTTTTGATCCCTGTGGAAACCAGAAGAAAAGATGCTCAGTGAATCATTAATTGAAAATTACTGAGACTGATTGCACAATCCTATAGCCTAGGTTCAGAGTTGCTGAGACAGGAGGATTGTAATGTCAAGGCTTTCCTGGGCTGTGAAGTGACATTTAGGCTACCCAGGGGAATTCCATGAGCTCCTGCTTCAAAAGGAAGAGTGCTTGCCCAGCACTGACAAGTCCTAGGCATAGCCACTTCTACTTTGAAACCAAAAGAAATTCTAGTTCTTTTCCTGTACAAGATCATTAACATTTTATGATACCGGGGGGGGAGAATATTTTGGTTTTATCTCAAAGGAAGAGATCTCCTTTTCTGTATTTACTCCTTATTCACTGTTCCCCTCCTCAACCTCTAGAATGTAGCCCCAGGTTTGTATTTCCAAGTTCTAAAGGCAGAAAATACCAGCCAAAATATTAAACTCAGCTTCCTTTTCTCTGTGATCCAAGCAGGTGGTTCAGCCTCAGTGGGATGACAAACAATTAGACCAGCACATTTATTCAGTATGAGACAGTGGTGACTTGGCAGGGTTAAATGAAAGGTATGAGTCACTCTGCCTTCAGGCTGTTTTATGCACAAGTCTAGGAAATGGAACCAGAACCAACAGGGGAGAGAAAAATGCTGTTTACTTTGTCACAAACATCAAGTAGAACACTGCCTCGAATGCTCTGGCAAGGTTAGTTATTTCTGTAACCAAAAGCATTCTTTACAAACTGACACTCTTGTCTATGGGGTAGATTTTTATAGATTTTTCAAATACATTGGGCTGAAGGAGAGAGGAGAACTCAAGGGCAGAACACTTGTTAGGTTCTTAGTTCAACCCGCAACACTTCAAAAATCAAATATCTAAACATATAAAATGAATACTGCACATATGGTGTGAATGCTCTCTTCATGGTGGCTTTGAGGACTCCTCAAAGCATCAACAAATAATGTCAGTGCTGCAGCCTCTGTCCTAGAAGAATCTGAGTCAGCATGTCTCAGGTGGAGCTATGCAGCTGCATTTCATAATGCACCCAATAAAATTATTGATTCAGCTAAGGTAGGATCCATGCAAGGTTCCAGAATTGGTTATTTCCTTAAATAGTTTTCCTTGTGTTTGTTGTTATGTGTCTAAAGTACTCCTAACTCTGGGAAATCAGGGACCGAATGAGAGACAAGGTAGGTTCACCATGGAAGTGAACATATTTTTCAGAACCAGCAGTTGGCTAGAGCTAGTTAAACATTCTTGAACATGTGCCATTCAGTTAGGGCTCAAGAGGGCTCCCTGAATAGCCTTCACAAGCAGTTGTATACATCTTACCAATAGGAACCTAGGACACAGGAATGTTAGCAATTTAAGAAAACAAAATCACAAAACTGCATATGCTAAGAATTTAAATCCCAATCTCCCGTTTTTGTGTTTCCAGGGAAGACACACCAAAAAGCAAGGTCCTGCAGATGCTGCTGAAACTGAGACACTTTTGGGCAAAGTTGGGCATCTTTGATTCTGTGTCTGATGCCAGGTGTAAAATGTTTTCTGCTAGGTCTATTCTACTTCCCTTCAGGTTGACCTAAATATAGCAATGTCTTAAATAAAACCAATGTCATCTTTGAAATGAGCCCTGAGGAGGTTCCTTTCCAGTTACACAGATCTGTACATGTGCATCTAGGTAACACCGGCTCCCTGCACCTCTTTCGTCTCTCCTCCGTTGTGAGTGCTAAATATGTAAAATTTATGACCTAAGCCAGGAGCAGAAAGCACTGACAGAAGTTTAGTAATTAGTCATTCGGGTTCAACATTGCTGTGGTTGTGTGGAAGCAGCCTGGGCTCAGAGCTTGGAAACACCCTTGACATTCCACAGTGAGAAACAGGCCATGTCTTAGCTGAACACCTTCAGACCTATGTGACACAAACTATATGAGACTTGTTAGCAAAACTTCGTAACAAATCTTATCTAATCAAGCAAGGACAGAGCAGGAATTTTACCATGTTATTTTTTGCACTGGGGTTACACATTCTTTCTCTAAGATTATGTACATCAGCCACATGATAAATATCCCATATTACTAATTTTTGAAGTTTAGTTATGATTTTTACTAAAATGTTTGTCTAAGTATTCCTTTCCCTTGTTCTTTCATTATATTTTTCCCAAGCTTACAATGAAATATACTCAGATATGTCTTCAAAATATCCTGTGATTTATCGTCTTTTGTGACACCTCCTAAGCCTGCCAGTCACCCAGCTGCCTAGTACTTAGTAGATATGGTAGGAATGAACACTGTCAGTTGAATGGATGAGACTTCAGATAATTATATTAACTTAAGTAAATTTCAGAATGCAAATTCCACATTTTTTCCATTTCTGGCTTCTTGAGCTCATACAGACACTTAAGATCATACAAACAGAAAACATGACAGTAGAAGCAATTGTCAGAGGAACAAAGAGAACCAATTGGTGGCATACATATGAGAAGGGGAGGGTGAGGGTAAGTGGATATGCTCAAAATGCAGTGTATGTTGAAGCAAGCCAACATTGAATGCACAGAATTGAAATGGCCCACAGAGTGCTGGCTGTTCACAGAAGTTCGCTGGCCCCAACACTAGCAGTCCTGTGCAAAGTCAACACTGACAACTGCCAGAAAAGCCCAGCAGTTGATCACATGGACAAAACTAGTATGAACCAAAGACCAGAAAGTTCAGTTTGCTTCCATTGTCGCCTAGTCACACAGTCTTTGGCATGTGTTTCATACACAGTTCCTGACTTTGGTTTCTTCCACTATAAAATCAAGATTTACCTGCTAAGGAATAGGAAGCTAGCCTAGATATAGATACTACTTTCTATTTCTGTTGTGTGTTATGTAAGAGTGCTTTTGTGCATGTGCATCTGTGTACGCTGACATATATGAATGTGCACATGGAGGTCAGAGATTGATGCCAGATATCTATCTTCCTCAATTGATTTCTATCTCATTTTTTAATTTAAAATTTTTTGAGGTCGAGTTTTTTACCACTCTCGGGGATCACTGAATTGGCCTTACCTGCTGACAAGTGATCCTCTGGTTTATGATTCCCCAGCATTGGGACCGCAGGTGTGTGCTATCATGTCTTGCTTTTTACCTAGGTGGTCACTGTCCATACTCAGGTCCTGATGCTTGTGTAGCAAGCTTTTACCAACTGAGCCATTTTTCTAGGCCACAGATACTTTCTATAAGATCTCTAAATGATAGTATATTGGTTATTGTCATATACAAAGCAGAGCAGTTTGGACAAAACACAAACTTCATTTCAAAGTGACATACAGATGTGATAATGGGCTGGCAGTACATATAAGACATGAATGATTTAAGGATATTACACCATAGATACTTATTCTTACTGTAAATTTTTACCTACTGATGAAGAACATTTAAGACTCTGTTTCTTACCTTTGGACTTCCGGTCATGGTATGACCTGCCTCTATACTGAGGGGTGTCCAGATACAAATTCTCTAGATCATCTTGCCAAGATGCTGGATTGAAGTACTTAAGTAGATCTTCCACAGTATCAAATTCAGCAACAGTTTTGTCCAGGGCATCGGCAGTGAGATTGGGGTCCGTTACTGATGGAGAGTGATAGGACACCCCCTAAGAGTGAATACAGCTCAGTGTACTTTCAAAGGGTTCATTGCTGTGAAATATAACAATCATACAACCATACACAAGGAGCACAGATGGGTTTCGGAGGATGGCACATCATCAAGATGTCATGCCGTGGCAGTCTGGCACTGAATTATCATTTATTAAAGAGAGTGTATAACTCCAATGCACAACATAGCATATGATTTTATTAAAGTTAAAGCCAACAAGATCCTGCAACTTTCAACTTACCTTAGCTTCGATAATTTCAAAAGATACAGTATAAGTAGGAATATAAAAGTTGACATCTGATTTCTTGGTTCCTTGTCTCAAATCTTATCAACTAATAATAATGAGAATTACAATTCTGATCTCCTCTCAAGTAATTTCTGATGATATAATGTTAGGCTTATATGCCTCCCCTTCCATGTAGCTCTCATTGCAGATGCTGTGTGAGGTGGCACTCTGCAGACATTCTGATAAAATCTGCACTTTAACCAACTTATTTACTGACAACAAGGATAATTAGCCTGGAAATGGGCTCTCTTAACTCAAGAGTGCAAGGTTCACATGGGAAGCATCTTCAGAGGAAAAATAAAAATACTGCTACAGCTTAGCATCAATCCCACTTGTCATTTAGAGTCTCAGAATATTGTTGAAATGAGGAACCCAGTGCCATTGAGAGGCCAGAAAAGGATTATATATTTTGCCATGGAAATAAAACATGTTCATGTAAAATGTCTAAGCACTTACTCCACTAACCTTTGTACAATCTCGAAGTAAATGAGCCATGAGCCAAACATCTCTGTGAAAATTCATGACCCATTAACAGGGAAATAGAGAGAACACAGCCTCAAATGATCAACTAAACATCCTTAAAGACACTATCAAACAAATAATATCTTCCCTTGGGTAAAAAGTCCCTTTCACTAAAGGAAAGTGTAAATTAATGAAAACTTGCCTTCTTAAACCTGAACTGCAGTTTTATATTATAGTATTATAGTATTATAGAAATATTACATGCTGCAGAGATCCCAATGGCAAACTAGTGCTCTCACTTTCCTGCTGTTGTCCCCTCGTCCACCACTACTGTTCACTGGTCTATGGATGACTTCGCTGGGCCTCACTGGTAGATGACTGCACCCAACTTGGTAAAATTATTGAGTCCAATAAAACCATCTGCCATTGGTGGAGCATAGAGTCAGTTTCATTCATGCTTTCTAGGAGAATGGGAAGGAAATGTGGGAATTAGAGAGTGTGTTAGGGATGGAAGACAAATTGATGCCTTTTTTCACTTTTAGTTAGCTCTGTCAAAATAAGCACACATCTCATCCTCTCCTCACCATGGTGAGTTCATCACTGGTGTGTGAGGCCACTCAGGTATATACAAGCAATTGTTTAATCCAGTCTTTTAGTATTTGTCATGCATGACTTAAAGAGGGACTTGTTAACATTCTGAGCCAGGATAAAGACACACTCTGCACTCATTTTGCTGATGATAATACAACTCCATCCAGGTGTTGGCATGCTGAATTGTTCAGCTCTTTTTTTAAAAAAAATGTCTTTTACATTTATTTATTATTTTATGAATATGAGTGTTTACATTGTATGCATGTATATATGTGTACCACATACATGTCTGGTTTCTACAGAGGTCAAAAAGGGTGCCAAATTTCCTGGAATTGGAGCTATAGATCATTGTAAACTATCATAGTGAGTACAAGGAAATAAACCTGGGACCTCTATATGAGCAACAATTGTTGTATTGTACTGTATAGCTCTTGTTTCTTCAGTGTGTGTGTGTGTGTGTGTGTGTGTGTGTGTGTGTGACATGAGCTGAACTCTGGTGGACACATATGCTTATATCTTCTACATCTCTCTTGACACTTACATATCATGAATATATGCCTCTTACAAGTCAGTACTGTAATTACAATTCTCCACTGAACCTTTGTGGATAACTTATAATTAGTTTCTCTATTTCTTCTATTCCCTGTGGTTCATATTCACTATACAATTAATTTTCTATCACTATATATGTCTGATAGCCTCCAAATCAAAATGACTTGACCAAAGTTATGAGATTGGCAGCATTGAAAACTTTGAAATAAAAGTAAGAACAGCAGTCAAGCCATTGACACACAAATAAAAGCTTCTAGCTATAGCTCTGGGAAAGTAGCTACAAGAAGTATTCTCAGATGGCTTTCAACAATGCCTGGAGTGTCACTGTGTGCCCAGACATTACTACAAGAACAAGCTCTTAAGGGTCTCAGTCCCACGAATGGAAGTGGGGTGAGGTGAAGAGATACAATCTCTTCTAACCCAAACCTGGAGGGCAAATTCAAACCATTGGCAAAATTGAAACTGGCCGCTTTGTGTGAAGTTCATGATTGTTTTCCAGGTATCATGTAGGGAAGTTGGTAGACAAAGGAAGATAGTTAAGGACACATTTATATGTCACTATGTGAGCTAATAAGCCTACAAGAATATTTGTTTTTGAAGTAAATATTTTAAAAATTTCTGTAAAGAGCCACTTTGTGCACCTCCTTCAGTTATACCATGCGTTTGGTTGTATTGAGCTTTTGTTATGTATTATAAAGTTAAATTAAAGTGTTAAAGTAAAATTTTAATTGAATTAAAATTACCATTAAACATGCCTACTGCAATAAAAAAAAAACCCTATAAACTACTTTGAGTAAAACAAAATATGGTCTACAAAGAACTTGATAGTTGGTCTAGTGACCCTTCACACTACTCTGAATGGATCTTAAAAACAAGAACAGTTTTAAAACAGAAAGGAAGGGACAACAATAGCGAAGGGTAAGAGAGAAGTGAGGGCAAACATGAGCAAGGCATACAATGTGTATATAATATATATCCCTGAAATGCATCCTCTCTGTATGCTAATGAAAACTAATGGAAACAACAAAGAGGAAAATTGATTCACATGCTATTCCAACATGGGTAAAGCCTCAGAACTTAAACCAGAAGTAAATATGGGGCAGGGCTGAACTTTGCCGAATATTCCAGAGGGATAAGCCAGTCTCCCTCTTGCTTAAGAGCCTGGATGATGTATAACTACACAAACTGTTCGGCTATGTACTTAGAGCAGGAATGATCAGACCACCCTGAACCACCATGAGTAAGATAGAAAAGAAGCTGAAGTGTCCGTCAGTCCTCAGCCCTAGTGTATACTGAGTTATGAGCCACAGGACAATACCTGCCCTGCCCTTTTCCTGAGCCGGAGGACTGTGTCAATGCTGCCTGCTTAATTTTGATGTTTTTCATCTGACAGAGCTTGCATACACTGAACTGAGCATGTGAAGCACAGGCCATCACCACCAATCCTCAGTACTCTTTCTATGTAGTCCCCTAATGTAATACTTGTTTTAACTTTTTGATAATTTCAAGTATGTATATAATGCGGTCTCACTGAGATTCTCTTGTATATTTATAAAGATAAATTAGAATATTAATTTATCTTTCTATCTCTTGCTCTCTCCTTTCTTCTTCTATCCCTATTTCCCCAACACTTATCCACTCATTTTCATGGGCTCTTAAAAAAAAAAAAACAAAATGAAATACCCTTAGTGCTGCCTGTATATGCTCAGGTGTAGAACAATCCACTCAATGGGCCTTGTCTCTGAAGAGAACTGATTCCTCATTCTCCAGAAGCCATCAATTGCTCCTTTGCTAGGGAGAGACTTCATGAGCTTCCCCACCATGGTGGGATTCTCTGTTCCTTGATCTTGTGCAGGTCATCTGTGAATCTGTGTGTAATCATAGCTGCTGTAAGTTCATGTTTGTAATTATCTCCTCATGTCTGGACTGTATGGTTTTTCTGCAGATGTCCACTTCCTCTGGCCCTTACAACCTCTTTACTTCCTCTTCTTCAATGATCCCTGAGCCTTGGGGTAGAGGGTGTGAATATAAATTGATCGGCCACCCTGGGGGATCTCAAGAGGCACAGATTCCAGGCTTGCTGAAACATTGCCACAGAAGGAATTAAGAACATTCCCTCAGTAAGAAAAAAATAGCACTGGCTTAAAAACAGTAACACTGATTCAGCCCTGTGGCCCCATGTTAGAACCACAGACACTAGTTCACCACGCTCGAACCTGGCTAAGAACTTGACTTTATTATCTTGTGTTTGATTACTGCGTAAGTTCTACATGCAGGACTGGTGAAGGCAAGCTCTGTGTTTTGCATGCAAAGCAGATAAGGTGACAGAATCCTGAGAAATGACTAAATTTGGAGGAAATAAAATGAGATGTGAACCATTTTACAGCCGAAGGGTAAAATGTGCTCTGCTGCTAATCAGAACCCTGTGCATGGCTGATTTTCACTTAAGTCATCATACTGTAAACAGGGAGATTTTCCCAGACTGGAAAGACCCTTGAAATTGCAAATGTTAAAGAGGAGCCAACCAGGGGTGTTCCTGAAAGAAACAGAGGGACTCAAACTGCCTTCGATCTGGCTTGCAGTCAAGCCTGGGTTCTTAATGCAGCTGAGGTCCCTCTGAGGCTGACCTAGGCTTGTCCAGCAGTTTTGCTCACTGGCAAAAGAATAATAAATTACTCACAGAGAAAGAGCTTGTGACCGATTCCCAGTTGGTCTCTGAGGCTGCTTCAGGTTGGAAATCCTCCTGGAAAGTAAAGACACATCCATGAGTCAGTCACTGCTCTGTTCAATTCACTATGCCCAGATGGCCGAATCTCAGCCTTCTCCATCTTGTTCTAAATACATGACAACAGGAACAGGGCTACATTCTCAGCAAACAAGTCACCATTGCTATGAGGCATCTGTATACAAGAACCCCTCTCACTCCAAACATGAACAACTGTGCTAGTATTTTCTTGTAAATATGAGTGAAATATAAAATGTAACGACAGAAGGTCAAATTTAATTTGGCCATCTATTGGTGTGTGACCTCTGGTGACCTTCTCAGCCTCTAATCCTTCTGTTCTTTATCTGTAATGGGCTGGGCTGTTTAAACTGCAAAGCTGTTTCATGAATTGAAAGTAGTAATTATGCAATTATAACTGGCATTTAATAAGTGCTTAATATAGAGAAAGAATAATTATTGTCATTATTGATATGTGTTTGGTTAAAACAAGGTTCTAAATCAAGTTCAATGCTGCCTGCTGAGACAGTGCTCAACATCAACGACCTTTTCAAAGATTAACCTCAGAAGGCTGCCCAGACTCCATTAACAAATGTCAGGAAGAAGGGCGAGGGTGGGACTATGACTGGGGGACTGGCAACAGGCAGACAGTACAGGCTGGCCTAACAAAGTTAGCTCCAACAAGTCTAAAGAATTTGTGATAGCCACTGCCCTTGCAGAATGAAATATCCTGAAAGGCAGAAATAGTTTTTGTTTACATGCTACTTTCACATTAACTAGTCCAGCACCAGTAAATTACACACATACACACACACACACACACAAACACACAAAGAGAGAGAGAGAGACAGAGAGAGAGAGGAAGAGAGAGGAGGGGGGAGAGGGA